CCAACAGCCAGAAGAAATGGTTACAACTTTGAAACTTGGATGAGATTTTTAACCTGATAAGAGCCAGAAATGTTCATGTGTGAACTCCTGTCCCTTGCCCAGCAAGCACTAATGAACAGCTTCATCTAGTAGCATTAAAATATTCAGTCTGTCAAGGAAATGTTTATTTTCTCAAATAGGGAAGGCTTCTCTTAAGCTCTTTCAGGTTTATAGGTGTTTGATGGCAGTTCTTTGTCCTATGCTAGTGACACACTAGGACTGCTATATTTAGGGCTGGAAACAAATATTTCACATCTTTCCAACAGAGAAAGTTCCCTTTCCACCATGACATGTCATATTTAGTTCTGGTCCTGGAAGGTTCCTATGTACCAGACATCAGTTATAACATTCTAAGTAACAGAAAAACACAATTGCCTCTGAAGGAGTATATTGGTATTTCCTTCTAAGGATAACGCTTGCACTTCTGATATGAAAGTACCTGGACTCACAAAAGGAAGGATGTAAACTTGGAACATAGTGAACATTCATCAGTGTACATGGGAAATGACAACATGGAATGAAGGCCATCAGAATAGTGGTCAGACTTTGCAAGTTACACAGTTTACCAGGGCTATTTATAGAGATCCCCAGCTTTGCCACTAACTTAAGGCACACATCCTCAGGCACATCTCTTCCCCTTGTTGTCATTTCATTCTCCATGTGTAAAGTGAAGATAACAATACATCACTTTATGAAGAGCTTCAGGTGACAAATGCAACATAGCTCCTTGGGCTAACTTACTGGACATAGTAGACACAGATAGAAGAGAAGCCAAGTCAACTCAGACTATTGTAGGTTAATAACATATTTTTTTTTGTCTTCCTAGTTAAAAATAACATGCCAGCATGTTACACTCATTCTGTCACCCTATCTCTACAACAGCTAGTTGTTGCCATCCTATTACAGGGATTCCATACTGTTGCTTCCTTATCACAAAAGTTCCATACCTTCTTGGTGTTCCTCATGGGCAGCTCCTCAAAGCACTGACTCTTTCTTCTTCACAAAGCAGCCAACTGACTCCAGTTCCCTTCTCAACCAGCCACCCCACTCTTTTATAGCACTCTTCTCTTTGATTACAGCTGTGGCCTGTTAAAGTCAGGCCTGTTCCTAATCTTTGATAATTGGCCCAGCTGCAACTCCTTAGGGGTAAGATTACTTTCTACACTATCTTTATTTTCTTATATTCTATCCCTCTACAGCTAGTTAAAGCACACTTGCTTATAAGCAAGATGTGAAAGAATCAACCTTCCATCTGTACCAAGGGTACATAGCACTGTTCAAATTAAATCATTACTTGGAGCACCAATGGAAGAATCAAGATGTTTTAAGAGTTGCAGTTGTAAGAAAGAAAGCATTTACTTTAGCAGCTGACAATGTACAAGTATGCAGAACAAGCAAAAGAATGCTACCTAGATTTATTCACTCAAGGTCTGTGTCGTGATTCTTTATGGTAGGGAAGCAAGAGGATGATTGTCTCAGACAACTGTTAAATTTAATCTTACTATGTAGCTGCAGGACAGCATAGGGATATTAAAGTTAATTGTCTGTAGTAGTTAAAAGGGAATTTTAGAGACCTACTGTCTCCCATCAGACTGGACTTTTCAGAAATAAGTGAATGATAGTATATTAGTGCAATTATTCTTCTAGTGTGTATATACATTTTTATTTGCTGGAGAACAGGAGTATGTGCTGGGAACAATTATGGTACTATGCAATGTCCAGTGCCTGAAGGAAGGCTTAATTTATTTTAAAACTGCCTTCTAAACTATCCATTTGTTTAATCATAACAAATCTGGAATGTCTTTCTTTAACAGCTGAACACTTGGCTGAGGATATGTGGGTCATTACCTCCTCATTCTCTAATGTAAAGGCAAACTGGCAGCCTGCTTGGGATTTCCTGGTACTCTTAAAGATATCCAGAAATATCCTTCAAAAACCTTTCAGAAGGATATTTTCCTTCAGAAACCATACTGGATCCTGTTGGATTTTTCTGAAACTCAGGTCATAGCTCATGTCAGTGCTTAGTTTTTAACAGCAGGCATGAAAAACTATGCTCAAATACCTAGACTGTTGTTTTATTTACATATAGTAATGAGTAAAAAGACCAAACTCATACTCTAGATTCTTGTGTACCCTGGAAAACTATTTACAAATCTTTAATTTACTTCTCTTGGACTGCAATTTCAGCCATTTTGTGATGGGATGGAAACTTTTTTTTTCCAAACACGGCCAAATGGCATTTTTAGCTCTTTCAGTGCTCTCACAGCTCTCATTCTACTGAAATTACAGTGTTAGTCTGGATTTCCATTGCTGTGACAGCAAGCAGATCCTGTCTGCCAGTGTACAGACAGACTCAACAGACTGAAATATGAATGGAAAATGGGGCAAGAATAGAAGTCAATACTGCCTGAATTAATTTTACTGCAGAACACCCTTGGGTAATGCTCAGGATATAGAAGGAGAGATACTTTGAGAGGTGGAAGAATAATGAAAATTTAAAAGTGAGGGCATACTGACAGAGATTTTCACATTCTTTTTTCCTAGATAAACTTTTATGTGGTTTGTCCTAAGCACAAGATGGTTTGCTGAAAGCTAAAATATCTTCTTCCCCTGCCCTCAGGATAATTTTGGCAAAAGAAATAGATCACACATGCGAAGTGGTGAAGCCAAGTATCTAAGTGATTGGGAACTAACTATTTAAATTAGAGGAAGAGATGCAATTTTGAGAAGGAAAGGAGCCATACCCTCGGGAACACGAGGGTTTCAAAGTCCTAGAAAATCAAGAAGTGCAGATGAGCCAAAAGCTATTTGGGGGAAGAAAAGCACCTTTCCTTACTCCAGAGATCAAAGAAGAAATGATTAGGCAAAACTAAAATCACAACTAAAAAAAGATTCTCTGAAAAGGGCAATACTGTTACCCCTATTCATCAACACAGAGAGAAATGATCCATCACAGCTTGGTCTCCAGAGTCACAGTGGATAATTGCCCAGTGGCCCCTCTTTCCTCTCCTCCATTCCACCAGTCCAGTCCCTGTTTGCACTCAGTGCCATGGTGTGTCCTCACAATGGGAGAGGCGCATGATGAGCAAAAAGGGATGAAAAGGAATAAATGGGACCTCACCTAGAGAGTGCACACTGTTCCCTCAGGTTTTTGTTAATGGTACTCTTAGAGCAGGATCTCTTCCTGCACAGCTGTTTCCATAATCTGGTGACCACCTGAATGGTGTCCTTTTGCCAATGACAGGGAAATGAATGGCACTATCTCTCTCTCTGCAATATATTCTGCTAATTCTGTAATGAGGGTAAAAGGCACTGCTTGTGTATTTCCAGTCCATATCCCAAATACAGAAAGGATCTGATAGCCAAGATGCAGATTATGTAAATTGAGTTACCAGAGCCAGAAGATGCTACCAGAGCCAGCAGTGGGTTTTCATCTCTGTGACACAAATCAGCAAAAAGGTACTGAATTTTGTAACTTTTTTGAGGGATTCTCACTACAAGTTAAGCAGAGACTATTTAACTGGTAACTGAAGGTACACTCATATGACTAAAAAAAATGTGTCAGAACATTTATCTAGATACAACAAAAGTGGGCTAAGAAAGAGAGAATCTTATTTTTTTTCTCTTTTATATTTTTAAAATAATTTGAGGAAATTCCAAAACTTTGAGTATTGCAGGCAACTAACACTGATTATGAAACAAAAGAATATTGTTTAAATTTCTAGACTGCAGATAAATATACCAGCTGAGGCTGTTCATAAATTGCATTTGCAATTTCTGATAAAACATGGTCTAAAGGCTTCAGATACTAAGGGATATGAAAGAATAGTACATGGTTCTTCACCTCTTTCTATAACTGCCCAATTTTCTTGAAAGTCTTCATGCTAAATGCCTTCCCTTTTCTCTCAAATAAATCAAAGATAGGGACAGGCATTGATATGGTTAAATATTTCTACTTTGGCAAGTAGAACTACTACTATACTACTTTGTATAACTACAAAATAAACAGTTAATAACCAGAGCTCCTCACAGTTATAAATGCCATCACCTGTCTCTCACAACATGCTCTTGCAAGGGAGGAGGTGACATTGAGCTTGCAGAGCAAAGGAAGAGAGAATGTTTACCTGATGAGCTCAAGAAAAACCCTTACATAAGGCAGCCTCCATGAAAGCACTGACTGAGCAATGTACTTGCTGCATGCTGCCTTTACTCTAGATGTTAACTGGATTACAGTTGCACTCATCATAAATTGGGATGTTTTTCAAAATGTGAAGGTATTCCAAATCACTATTTCCTGCACTATTGGCTCCGCATTCAAGGCAACAAGCAGATGCAGAGAAATTACTATGAACAAAAAACTGCCCAAAAATGTCAGTGTTCCCAGGGGTTGGGAAAACAGGCAGAAGCAACATGGCAGGCCAAGAGAGGAAGATTTCTGCTCCTAGGAGTGAGGAAAGGTGAAGGTTCCTGAGCACACAACTTCCTGAGGGGCCAGATCTGGCCACCAGGAACTTAGAAACTGGTGTTTGCATCTCCCATCATGATGGAACCAGTATACATGTGTAGTACTCTTGGTAAATAAAGAGCACTGCATCTCTGGGGAATTCCATTCCTCCCTGACAGGAGCAGCCTTGCAGAGCTGCTAACATAACCAGTCCTTGCAATACAGGGCTGGCAGTCCCTTCTTGAAATGAAGGCTTCCAGCACTTTTAAAGCATTACTGAGCTTTGCAGAGGTAACTTCCTAAGACTAAAATCATCAAACAATTAAACTTCCTGTTCAAGCACTGCCGTTACAGTTTTACTTGGCAGTGCACCACGTGCTGCAGAGAGAGGAGGAGAGAGGTTGTGTGAGCACCTGAGGGTGCAGCCCGGCCACACAGGGAAGGAAGGCTGGTGCTGCGGGGCCCTGGGAGTCGCGGCAGTGCCTGCAGGGGGTGGAGACAAGGCAGCGGGCCCACCATTAACACCATGCTTCTGGGGATCCTCGTGGTGCTCTTCTTCATCCCCACTGCTGATGTAACAGGTAACAAAAACCCCCCACATTTCAATCTTTTCCCCTATTTTTTTCTCACTTTGAAGGTCTGGGAAAGGGGAGAGGCAGCATGCTGCAATTGGATCAATTTGATATAACCAAGAGGCCAATTTTTCTCCTGCCAGAAGTATCTCTCCAGGATGAGACCCAAGAGCTTTCTTTTAATTTGACTTCTCTCTAGATCCATTTGGAAATTGCATGCATGGGTAGAGGGGTGTTTATTTCACCTACACCCTGGGTTTAGCAAGTTCTGCTCACGAGTGCCTTTTCTTGGGGGCAGCAGGTCTGAGCAGACCTGGTGCCAGCACCTCTCTTGGGGCAGACTCTCCACATCCCCAGATCTACTTCTAAAGCTTTAGGCTTCCCCATGGCCTGGCTTGGTGTCATGGGCTCCAGTGCTGAGTGCAACAACATCCTCACAGGTTCAGCAAATAAATGCTCAAAAGGAGACTTGCTTACTGAGCTCAAAGGTGGAAGGATGGGACTTGCCAAGTTTCTGATTTTTGCATTGTTTAGCGGTTTACCAATACTAACTAGACATCTAGTTTCTTTCTGAAGATCTTCAGGGAAAAAAAACAAAAAACTTTTTGAGATTTTGAAACCTGAATCTTAATGAATCTTCCTGACTCTTCGGTTGTTGTGCTGAGGGTATTTATCTTGGTGTTGGCTTGCTGATGTAGTGTTCCTGTGTTCAGACCTAACACGTCTTTCCAATGGGTACATTGAAGGCAAAGCAAAGCAAGAGATGCTGGCTTTTGCTAGGATCATCTTGAGACAGACAATTTTTCAGACTGCTGGCTGTGAACTTCTCCAAATATCAGTGTTCTGTATTTTCCAGGGAAGTTGCAAATAGGAATAAAAATCTGGTTTCCAGTACAAAATTTATAACATAGAGAACATCTTAAAACGTCACTTTTTCTAGTATGAGAGATGCAACTGAATATATTTTTTTCTTATTTCTATATTATTCTTCCGTAATTCTTTTCCTTAGTGAAGGCATTGTTGTTTGCATGACACTGTGATATACATTTTGTAAGAAATCATAGGGGTTTTTTTCCTTGACCTTTCCCATGTTTATAATTCTATGTTTGCAATATCATAGTTATTTCCAGAGCAGGCCCCTGGATTGTCAAAGAAGACACTAATTCCAGGAGGGGATACGTATCAGCAGTAGGTTAACAGTTCTGAACACATTTCCATGAGGTGTGAACAGCTTTTAAGCAGTGCTTTTGAATTGCAACAAAATAAATCACAGTGTGTGGTTCTCAGACACAGGTGTTATGCCACGGCTTTATAGACACACATACACTTGCTTTGCAGGAAGACCTTGTGTTTCTCCAACAGATTCACCAAGATTGTACAACTTCTTAAAGAGAAGCACACGAGGTCATATGCTTCTCAGGGCCCTCATCCTTTCCCCATCTATTTTCTTCACTCTTCATTTTCAAGATAAGTGGTCCTTAGTACATGGAAAACATTGAGGCAGGTCAAAACCCTGCAGGACTTCCTCAAGCCATGAAGTGCACTATAAGCCTCAGGTATTTTGGTTTGGGAAAATCCACAGAATTCATCCTGTTGTTAGACTATACCAGTGGCTGCTGCAGGTTGAGTTTAAATCATAAAAAAGGACTTGAAATACTAGTTCAGTCATTTCCCTTTTGCAGAAACACTAACGTTTGCAAAGTTGGTCCTCCTCCCCTTTTTGTTGGCTAAATAATTACCTTGCTGTGGACTGTCAGAGGGGCAGCTAGATCAAAGATCAAGTGTCTGGTATTTTGTGAAATAAGGAATATAAGGAGGTTCCCACTGCAGTGTACCACAACTGACCTCATCTTTTTACTATCCACATAACCTTCTGGCTTACGGTCTCTGGGGGTTAAAACCAACTTCTAACCTACCCAGATTACCAGAATGAAAAAGATGGATGGATATGAGGCAAGGTTAGCCGAGAGTAAGATGACATCAACTAATTCCTGTTTTAAAAAAACAAATCACAAACTGCCAAGAAAAACCCCTGTGTTCACACTGGGTTTGACTAAAGCAAGAGTGTCACCTGGGTTTTCTGGAGTACTCCTGCAGTACTTACAGCAAAGCAAGAAAGAGCAAGAAGGAGAGGATCCCCCGAGCTGCCCATCACACAGCTGGGTGGCCTCGAACCAAAGTACAAGAGAAGGAACCTTGTATCTGGGAAAGAGTAAGCATAATTGAACAACAAACCAGCAACAGCAAAAACAAAATAGCTTTGTTTATAACATACCTGTGTGCCTTTCTGCCTATGGCTTAAACAAATTCCTTTCAGTTTTTTCATTTAGGTTTTTCCCTATCCCCCCAGGGAGTTAGGTGGGCCATTTTTTTCCTGTGCTTACAGAAATGCCAACTTATTTTGGATACTTTGCTCTGGAAAATAGCTTCTTGAAGTAAGCTGGCATAAAAAAGGAAGAAGTTCACTAAATATTTTAGCAGAATATTTTTTTCCAATAGCTGATGATGATTCATGAAGAGTTCTGGTGAAAAAAAAAAGCAACACCTCAAAATAGTTATTTTCCATACTTTGTCAACTCTATTTCACTTTCTTGGCGAATAGAAAAAAAAAGCTTCAATGAAGTTTTGCTCGCATTGGGTTCAATGATCAGAGAGTCAGTATTTTACAGATATTATAGATGGATGGCATTTTGTTTCATGATCCAAAACCCCCTCACATGTGATTACAAGAAACATTCAACACTACAAATAATCTATAAAAAGCTTAACAAGCATTCAGAGATCTTACGCACCATTGCATATAAATCCTAAGATCCTGAGAAGGCTTGCAGCCTGTGTACACTGACTGAAATGATTTTACATTTTTAAAGTCACTGCTTTTTGAAACTGTAAACAATTATTTTTCATAACTGGTATTTTCTTGGCTGGGTAAGGCCAAGATACAGGTATTTATTACTACACAGCATGGCTGAACAGAGCTCTGAAGTGGCAATCATAACCCTACTTAGGGGAATGGAAACACCAACTAAATGTTTCAGAGTTTCACCACTTAACAAACCCAAAGTGACACTTATAAGGAAAAACTGTCTCTGTGAAGGCAAAAGCAGCCTCAGCCCATGTTTGCTTGGAATGGGCTAGATCCTACTAAGAATGTAGTCAAATCCTATTCAGATCATCTGGGAAGTGAGGGATGTTAGGCATTACTCTGTCATCCCCATGAAAGTAACACACATTTTAGTATGACTGACTTTCTTCAATTTAAAACAACCTCCAAGTCCAGAGGAGGAGGATGACAGCAGGGCTTCTCCAGCATGCCAGTGGGGTAAGCTTGCCTTGCCCCTGTTGGCATTGCAGCCCAACCAATTCATGTGGTGCTAATGAGTTCTTCCTATAAATGAAAACAAAAATATCTCCTTTAATTTGAGCTGATTTGTGAAAGTAGATTTGGGTGCTTAGCTTCAATCATGTAGGAGCTGTCTTCATTTAATGATCCACAAATGAGCATTTCCCACTGCTCAGCCAGTCTCCATCCCAGCATCAGCAGCACGGAGCTGGGTTTTCAAGCCTAGCCTGCAACACAAGGCAAGCAGAGTGGATTATAAATACAAGAGGTGAAAATAAGTTGAAGAAATTTATCATTTTAGCTAAGTGTATCAAAAGAGACCAGTTGCCAATTAGCACTGTGTCATGGCAGGGACATAAATAGTCCAGAGCTGTAGTTAAACAGTGGAGTTCAAGGCATGAACTCGCAGGTCTAAACATCAGGAATACAGGTTAGCTGATGACACCAAAGAGAGGGGGAAAAGTCATTGGGATCTGCAGAAGAGTCTAAATAACATCTGAAGGCAGTCCCTCAGGGATGGGATTTTCAGTGTTCTCTGACTTTCCTCTGGCCACAGAGAAAATATGATGAGGCTGAGCAATAAATATCCATTAGTTTTCTGAAAGTATTAGCAATGAAAACAGGCAAGCATTTTTAAAGTGTAACGCTTCTGTCTGTTCTGGGCCCCTATTTTGGTTGTCAACTCTGATACAGAAAAGGTCTCCCCTGAAGGTGTATTCAGTCCCTGTGACAATCAGGGTTGTAGTAGTGCACAAATACTGCAAAGCAGTAGAATAACTCTGTCTCAAGTGAGATGTGTAGAATTAAGCTCTGCTAAAGGTGGGAAAATTCTACTGCAGACTTGCAAACTGCCACATAGGCCGAAGATCAATTTTCTCGCCAACAAAAATATGATCAAATACCTTGTCTAAAGCAGTGGAATCCAAACCTCACCCCTTACTAGAATGCCTTATAAGCCTATGTGAGAGCTTTTGTCGGAAAATGCTGATTCAAGGAAACCAAATTGTTTTGTTGAAATGTCTTCATTTTGATGAAAACTCACCACAGGCACCACCTTGAGTAAATACTTGCTTTCTTACTCTCTTACTTAGCCACTCTCCTAGGATTCAAAGATCCTTGTCTCTTTCTATTGGAAAGCCTGGAAAGGTTATCTTCAATCAAAGTTTCACAGTGTTTTGGTTGCCTGGACATGGAATTTAGGAGCTGTTATGAGCTCTCCTCCACTCCCTCACTAACAGTGCTGAGCAAAGAGATGCAAGGAGGATAGGCTACAGTCTTTCTTTGCTAAAGATAGCCAGTAGAGCATTCCGTGTCTCACATCTCCTTCTCTTATTTGTAGCAAGGGCTGGTAAATGAGACTTTCAATAAGAGAATTAACAACTTCAGCAGTTTCACAAGTTCTGCTGATAACAGGAGAACCTGCTAGCCAAAGGTTGTTTTTACTACCCACACCTTAGCACTAGTCCTTGCTGTCTCATGCATCTCTTGTGTTTACTTTCACATTCATCCCAAAGGAGTATCCTGCTCAAGAGGCTGGGATACTTCATCTTTTTGTGCAGGCATGACTACAGTAAGCATAATTTGGTCCTAAATATTGTTAAAACAGTTTTAAACAGTAATTTTCTGGGCATTCTGGTTCTGGCCTCCTTCCCACTTCATTTCCCTTACCAGCCTTTTTGAAGTCTCACCACATGGATTAAGTAGAAAGAATCTATGTTTGCACCACATTTTGAGGACAAGAGGCACAATTGTCATTCTAACAGCTATGGTGATTCTCAGGGATCTGTAAAAGACCATCCAGACCTCATATGAGCTGAGCTTGCATGAAGACTTAAGCAGTCATATAAAAGCTTTGGCAAGTCTCTAGATTGAGAGCCACAACTCTCTTCCTCTTACTTAGGTGTCATCATTTGGAAAGAAGGGCCTCATTTGTGCAGGATGGCTTTTCTTGGAAGAAGTTGTTGTTCTGCATAGTCCTTGCTATGTTTCATTGTTTGGCAGATGATAGCAGAGAGGTCTACATGTCAGAAAACATTTCCTGTTTATGTATCAGTCTGGTCAATTAAAATTCAATTATACATTCATGTGACATGCTTTTTTCAGGCTTTTTTCAAGTGCTAAGTGCCAATGCAGTGTCAGATTAATCAGCTCCCGTGTCCCTTGAGAGATTAAGAATCTACTACAGCTGCTGGCTAGAGAAATTACTTATTTTACATTAAAATGATAGCAGTTCATGCTTTTAGTGTTCATTGCCCAAGGTCCAAACCCTTGAAATGGTTCAGATCCACCTGCAAACTCTTCAGGAGTCCTTGAATTAAGAAGAAAATGTATAAATAATATTCTCTTATCTGACTGCAGTGTCAATTCATAGTATTTTCACTCCATAATGTTCCTCAGGAAACTACTGGCTAAGTAAGAGATAGACTAAGAAGGCCTTAGGTGTACACACAAGCACACAGGTGCAGACTAGGCTTCTGAGCTCTGATGTTACATCTTAATGACAGGTCGCTGTCTCTGCTAGTGTTCTGACTGAAGAAAAACACTCTTGATCTCAGTCTCCCCTAAAGACTGTGTAATATTATTTACATGCAGGTGGATTGCTGCAACAGTAGTTGCAGCGAGAAACTCTGTGAGAAACTGCTTCTGCAGATGGGTGGTTTTGTACTCCCTGGTAGGGAGTGTCAGCAGGGGAGAGGAGATATGGAGAAGAGTTGCATGGGAGGATGTGGGGTTCTGAAATCATACTATATTTTATAAACAAGTGCTCTTCTCATTTTCTCCCCTCCCTTCCAGAAAACAAGATTTTAGTGGTTCAGCATCCTTTGCTCGTTGTAACTAACCAAACTGCAACTCTAGTTTGCAACTACACATACAATGGGACAGGGAAGGAATTTCGAGCTTCGCTACACAAAGGAACGGACAGTTCAGTTGAAGTTTGCTTTATTTCATGGAACGTAACCAACATTAGGAGCAATTCAACTAAAGAATTCAACTGCCAGGGGGATCATGATAAAGACAAAGTCATCTTCAATCTTTGGAACATGAATGCCAACCAAACTGACATCTACTTCTGCAAAATTGAGGTCATGTATCCACCCCCATACGTCTACAATGAGAAGAGCAATGGGACTGTCATTCATGTGAAAGGTAAGCTGAGAAACCTCTGTAGGCCCATATCCTCCCTATGCACACTACCTACATAATGACTGGAGGAAGTTTGTTTCCTTAAAATAAAAAAAGTTGGATTGCCTGGTAAAACTACATTCCTGCTCTGGGCTTCCTGAAGAAGAGATCTTAAAATGATGATTAATAAAAATGACACATTGGAACAAGGAATAAATAAGCAGAGATTGATGGTTTTAATTTCATGTACTTAAAGTTTTCTTTGCTCTTTCCTTAAAGAGACACCCATCCAAATACAAGAGCCTCAGTCTACAATTCCTTTGTGGATTCTGGCAACAGTGACTGGAATTCTTGCACTCTACAGTATGCTAATAACAGCAGGTTTTTTTAACTATTGGGTAAGAAACTTGTATTTTCCTTTTCTCTGTATGCTCTAGTAGTTCATTTCTCAGGCTATACTTGCCATGTTTACCACTAACTCACCGATACCCCTTCAGTACAGGATGACAGTGTTTCTTCATCCCAGCTATGTATGCACACCCATGGTGTACCCCAACAGAGCTGAAACACCAGATGCTCTCCAGGTGGGTTGTCAGGCCTCTGCAGTAGAGTCCTACAGCAAATTGTGATGCCACAGTGTTGGCAGTGCCCTGCACACCTGCAGTTCCGGGACACCTCTGCCAGCCAAACCCGTCAGGGAAATCTAGAACTACAGGCATTTCTGGCAAAACCCCATGAGACTATACTGACAGGAGCTCAGCTCCAATAAAACAATCTATAGGGAGCCCTCAGCCCAGGGCCATCTGCACTGGTGTCTTGTGTCTATCCAGCAATTCCCTTGAGCAACCACTATTTCTGGCAGCTTGACTACAAGGGAGTAGGAGCACCTGGATCTCAGTAGCTCCTTGTCTATACATCAACAGTAAGAAAGCTGAGACAGCCTTATGGCTCATAATTTTTACTCTTTGGAGAGTTGACTGGCCCAAGTCGCATCCAGTTCTCCTCCTGGCATGATACAGGGGCAGCAGAAGGACATTTTCCTTGACAAGTCTTAGGACTTGATCTCCAGAGCCAATTTACACTACTTACTCCATGTGAGAAAGACTTGAACATAGAGAACTCAATTCCTTCCACTCAGACTTTCCCCTCTATTTTTGTTGTTAAATAGCAATTTTCAACACAACGGTTATTAGGTAGCCTGTATAAAGGGTCCAGAGTCTCTGCCAGGTTAAATGTTGCATGTATACAGAAAGCCACTCAATGTCACGGCTAGCTGAAGCTTAAGATCTGCTAAGTGTTTCACAAAAGGCCACTTTCTCAATCTGTGGCTATTTCTAATGGAAAACAATCAAAGGGGGCACTGCCGCAGGAAAATAGAAAGGCCAGTTAAGTGGTTTTTCTTTGTGCCCTGTTGTAGAGGCTGACTGAGGAGAGCTGAGAGGATTACTAGAGCAGCTGCTGGTGCTACAGTGCTGTTCTGCAGATGAGATGCTATAGCTTCAAATCCATCATTTACAATCTGAACCATTTTCTCTGTGCTATATTCATTTGCTACCTAATGGCTTCACATTTTGCCACTAACACATCTGCCCCCAGCAAGGGTGACAAGGCTGCATTGCCATGTGTGCTGTTTGCTGCATCATTTTTTACCTGCTGTTATTACTGCTAGTAGTATTTTTCAGATAATATGTATTCTAATTGTGGATGTATTTAGAGTGTTGTTGAATGTAAATACAGCTGCCTAGAAGAACTATGAATTGTAAAAAAAGGTCCTAATCGTGGTACTTGACAGACATGGCAAGCCTGATCAGTTCCTGAAAGCAGCTAAAGATTTGTCTATTTTCATACAGTTCTGCCTTCCCTGAAGGAAAACTGCTTTCCATTGCAAAAGTAGCAGTCTTTCATCCTGTAACAGCCCAACAATCACTCATGCTAGCAAAATGTCTTTCTCCCATGCAAAAATACCTCCTAGGTGAATCAGAAATCCTGTATTATGGAGATGAACACAGAGATACAGCTTTGTATCTAATGCTCTACATGCACTGAATGCATTACATGGCTTAAGCAGTATGTAACTCACATTCAACCCTTTGCATATATAGAATATTAACGTTAAAAAGCTTAAAATATTTCATAGTAACTGCCCCACTCTGCACATACAACATAATTCAGCCATCAGATTTTCTAATGCAAACCTCCTCCAATTGCACAGCATCATATGCATGTATACTGCAGCATATGCAACTATTTCTGTCCATGGGAAGGGAACTTCAATAAAAAGGAGATCACAAAAGAGGGTATGATCACTATTAAGGAAAAGGCATGAAAGCACTTTACTTACCCCTGATCAATAAACCCTTAAGCTATGTAAAAAACACCAACCTTTTGCACAGCCTGCAGCAGTCAGAGGCTGAAATGCTGCTGTAGCCACATATTTCCTCTGTGATTTTAGGCAAATTATTTCACCTGTCTTTTGCTACTCTTATTTCTAAAAGAGTTGATTCTTCCCTTGTCTCACAGGGGCATTATAAGCAGGAATCCAACAGTAGAAATAAGATTTTTGAGGCCCAGATTAGGAGACATAAAAGATTAACATCAGCTCTGATTCTTTCACTCCTTGAAGGAAGGTTCAGAACAACATATGCATTGTGTATTACTGCTGTAAATAGTAGGAAAATCATAGTCTCGGCTGATTTTTCATGCTCTTATTCTGTTTGAGTTAAGCTAATTTCTCTTTACTTCCTAATAAATGAGGACAGCCTTCACAGCTCAAACTCTGTTTCTGCTGAATCATTCCACAGATGAGAGAGGCAAGATGATGGTAAGAGGCATCAGTTTGTATCCTTGGTGTGTAGCATTCCTTTACCTGAAGAACTAACACTGTTAATCTCCCACCAGATAAGCTGGAGACTTACTTTTAGGTTGGGCAAATTCCACAGATTATTTGATGAGAACACATGTTCTAATTCTTTTGTAAATGTATTTAAACTGAAGACGCCTTACAAATATGCCTGCTTCCCTGAACAGGGACCTAGGGCCAGAACTGTCAGCAGCTAACATGAGAGTTTTCACAGTTGTCTTCCCCCTCCTCCCACAGCAGAAATCCAAGAAGCGTCTGTACCACCAGAGTGACTACATGAACATGACTCCCCGGCACCCTCCGTACAAGAACAAGGGTTACCCATCCTATGCACCAACGCGGGACTACACCGCCTATCGGTCCTGGCAGCCCTGATCCCACAGGAGCCTCATGCGCTTCCGGGCAGACACGTGCTCTGGGGCATGAAAGGAAGGACAGCCTCTCACCTTCTCATCCTCTTTGTTGCTGTTGATTACAGACACCTACACCTAGCAAGTGTTAACTAAACTTTGATCATTAAAAGAAAAATCCAGACCAACAAGCCAATATAAAAAGGGGGGGCGGAAAGGGGGAAGTAAAAAAAAGAATTTTTCTCCATGATGGCTGAAAATGAGGCCCAGCTTGTGTTGAGGGTTGTCAGTGGATAAGATGGAAAGATGGCATCAGACCTCAGAGCTGGTTTCTTCCTAACAGTTGTGGTTTTGCTCAGCTGTTGGAAGAAGCAGAACTTCCGATCTTTTCCGATTACTACTACCTTAGATTTAATCCTTAATTTCCTTCCCTGTATTGTTACTGTTAAACCTAGCAAAATGTAAAAAATAATATTTTTTTCTCTGTAACATGAAGACACAGTTTGAAGTTCAAAATACATGCTTAAAAAAGAAAGAGGAAAAGGTCAGTCAGAAGGCATCCAAGCTATTACGCTATGGAGCAAATGATCTGCCAGGACAAATCAAGCTAATAGAAAACTAGTAAACCTTCAACATGTGAGTCCTTAGGCTGGACACCTTGTAAATGTTCATAAGGCCATCTGCAGTCATGACCAAGCAACTCCACAGACCGAAAGAGCAAGCAACGTGAAGACAAAATCAAGACAAGTGGGAGAGGAAGAAAGATGTCTTAATCATGAACAACCCCATTTCTTTTTTGTTTGCCTTCTGCATCAAGGGAATGCAAAGTCATATATGAAGCATTAGAAACAGAGAGCTCAGATTTTGAGAAGATTTTTACTTTATTTTTTAATTTGAGATTTCAGAAGGTATTCTCCTGAGTCCTCCTGAAAATTCATGCACATCTTCTGGCACCTAGGTTTACCAGAGCTCTTCCAAAAATCTGGGACAAGTTAGCAGTAACTAAAGACCACTTAAATTTTTTTCCCGTAAGTATCTGGTTTTTGGGGTGTCATTCTCAGCATTGTAAATTGGACATGCAAGTTCTCAGACATCTTCAGGATTTGCTCTGGGCACTTTGAGGAACTTTGTGTTATCTGGAAGTTGCTTTTCTCTCTCAAGATGTTCTTCAGGGCTCCTCCATGCCAGAGCAGGACAAAGTCATTAGCAAAACACGATCCATTCTTTCAATCTAGTATATTTACAATAACAGGACATCCTAAATTGTAAATGGGGTTGCCTTGGCATAAAATCCCTTTTCATACTGAGGAGACAATGTTTATTTTATAAAGACTGCTGAATAAACAATTTTAAAAAAACCGCATTCCCATCTTGAAATAAAATTTGGATTGTATAACATTTAATTTCCTTTAAGCTAGGATAGGAATATTCTTTCTCTCTTTGAGGAGACAGGGTAAAAGTAGAGGTGTGGAAGCATGTCAACAATTTACTTTGATGTCTTAAGCCAAGAAAACAACTTTGGCACTTCCAGATTGGAAGGGTTTTTTTGAATTTGCTGACTGAGCCTCAGGTCTTCCACTCTGAGTCTTATATCACCATGAACCATGTTCCTGGAGGGCTGTGCCACCTCTGAGCAGCAGTGAGGTGCCCCTTGCCCCAGCCAGGGACAGCAGCATCCCGACGGCAATGGCAAACAAAGCCAAGAGGCAGTGCTGGGTCTTCAGCATGAGAATCCAGTCATGAACCTGGCAGGCCCTGAGAGCCTTGGTCTGGTTCAGTTCAGCAAACTCAAAAGCTTATGATTGAACCAAAGAACTTCAAAACAAAGTTTGATTTATTTCTTCTCCTTTCCCCTCACCACATTCACAAACACTCCAAGGCTGACATTTTTCCACATACAATTTTTTCACTGCACCTTTGTACTGCAGCTGAGGCAGCTAGGAGCATGTGCACAGAGCAGAGGGGAGGGAGCCAGGCACATTGGCATCGCTGCATGGTCCCAGCCTGGCCCTCCTTGCTGGCACTGACAGAGGGATGCTAATGCCTTGCCACCTCCCTCCTTACATGGAGGGGAGATATGAGTGATCCTGTGCTGGGGCACCCAGCCACTTCCAGCAGAGAGCAGCAGGCTGAGCACAGCTCTCTGTCAGGGTATGGCACCGTCTTGCCAATTTCCAGGCTGTCACTGTGTGGCACAATGACACAATGACATGCATGATCATATAGAAAACCACAACTTCTAGTACAAGTGTAAGGTGAGATGGCAAATGTGTATCAAACCCACAAAACAGAATGGATGTTTTTTGCATAAACTGCGTATATACATATTTAGGTATAGATGCATCTATTTCACTGCATATATATTCCCTAGAGTTTTATTTTACTTTTGGCAATCTCCTTTTAAAATTATTAAATAGATACAGTAAATTAAATCTTGAATGAATGTATTAGGCCTGAGGCTAGTCAGAGGAAACTATTGCTTTCTAAAACAAATGTTGGTATAATTTGCTTTCCTTCCTTTAACACTTTTGTACTTTCCATATTTAAAAAATACTGGTAGCTCCCAGGACATGATACTGGAAAGTAAGACCTGGAACATCTGCAACAAGTATTAATTCATTCAACTGACCAAAAAGGAAGGGAGATACAGGGAAATATCCTAACATGAAAAAATGAGGAGAATCAGGACATGAGAAATCCCAGCACTGTGTTAAAATGGACATTGCTGTTACATCAAAGCTCTATAGGGACATGAATTGCAGACTGTTGGAGATGGGATACCAGCAAATTGCTTTTATCCACCACTGTAAAGGACGAAAATAAAGTGTTTGCAGAGAAGCAAGCCAGTTAAGCCTGGAGTCTGCATATGTGGATCAGCATAGTCGACAAGCAGCAATCGTAATTTATTCCATCTGGTTTTAGGCAATGCATAACATGCCAGGACAGTCCTATCCCTCCCTGGCCCTGCCTTTGGGGTCTATATGCTTTTTATGGGATGATGTATAAAGAAACCTCCCTCTGCTGCAGTTCTGAACTTGGAAACTGTGCCTCATGGAGGGCAGAGGTAAATCAATAGGGTTTTCTGCCTTACACATAGGTTTAAATTCAAATGCAAATATAATCCTGCCAAAGAGTGATTTAATTTTTCATCCTCCTTTCCCCCACTTTTGGGTGTCAGTGTCAAATGAACATCTGATCTGCAGTCATCACATCTGAACAGCAATCAACATATGTTGCAAGGGGTCAACCAAGGGTTGTGCAGCTCCAGCCCCCTGCATGCTGATTCCTGTTCTGCACGTCTCCAGCACAGCACAATACAACAGCCTGCCTCTTCTTTGCTTCCAGGAACCAAAGCCCTAGAAGACTAATGCCAAGGAGGTAGCTTGTGTTACCTCTGCAGTCTCGAACCTTCCCCTATGGGGTGATCAGGCTTACTAAAGCCAAAAGTCTTGGATGTTCCTTCTAGTCTGAATATTCCAAATTCCAACATCATCCCCCTGTATAACATTTCCCCCAAATGCCTCTTATTTCTTCTGTAGCTATAAATGTGAATCCTGCATCTCTGCCAAACAATATCATATCTTCCTTCTTTGTGCATCATCTTTTCCCTTTCATTGCTATTCCAGACTCAGCAGTTCAGGAATCCATCCTATTTGTTAATCTCTAACACCATTGAGCCTTCCACATGCACTCCTTCCTGACTGGTTACTTGCTTCACAAAGACTATCTTGTATGCCACATTCCTCCTCAGCTTGGGGTAGGGAGTTGCCATAGGAGATTGAAGCCATGTGGTGATTGGATAGGTACATGTTTTCTGTTTGAAGCATTTGGAGGGTCTTTCATCCCTTTGATTTTTCCCATCATCTTCATATTTTCAGTTGTGCCAAACAGCCACGTGGGAATCCCACACACCACATGCTTCCCACAGTGCATTTAATTTCTGTACATTTCATTTCCTGTGCATAGCAGGCTCTTGGCTATGGCCAAGTTCATTATGCCTGCAGACATGCTCTGACAGCACAAGCAACTTTGGCTACTGATGGTTTGTTTGACTAATAAAAACATGGTACAAAAAGCTTGAGTTTTAAGAGCACACAGGCAAAGGCTTCAGTGCTAAAGATCAAATCTTTCCACTCTCAGCAAGGCTTTTGCTGTGTGACTGGAAAATGTGTTATGCAAGATGAATCACAGGCCAAGACATAATTTTGTTAGTCACTCATACTAACCAGAAAACAGGTTAGGGTGTTGAGAACTGGATCAGCTTTGTTAAGGTTCAGTAAAGAGTGGGAAAGGCTGAAAACAGCATTAAGCAGTAATTTGTAGCCGAAGTCAGTATCTTTAAGTGGCTGTGAGAGGGAAACGAGCTGCCTATCTTGATGCAAATGGGTTGTTCTTCCCAATTAGGTGCTTTTGTTAGAGCATCACATTACAGTATGCTACTATTCCAGCCTCGAGGGCATGCAGATAGTATGATGTGGCCAATTTGGCTGACAGAGTATTAGGAGGCTGCCAATTTCATATTAACCCATTTGCAAAGAAACAAAAAGTTGAATGATCTCAAATTCATGGTGGGTTTTTTGTTTGTTTGCTTTTTTCTTTTTCTTACCAGATCTTCAGAATCAAGGCACTGGTTCTTCCTCCTGCTCCTGCTGTTGTTGTTTTATTAAAAATAAAATATAACTTTAGGTCACATAAGCTTACCAGGAACACTTCCGTTTCATTCATCTGACTATTGAAATTATGAGGAATTTTCAAATGCCACAGTTTTCATAGCCATTGTATCATTATGTGGCTACATCATTCTTTTTCCTTATTGTCTTCTTTTTCCTTCAAGGGAACTTTTCTGGATCGGTTGAAAGGTTCTCATGGGTTGGAACAAATCTAGTTTTTCAGACAGGAAAGATTACTACCCAACCAGCAAAATCAAAGATGCAAGCAAGCAATTAGTAACAGTTCTGTGGAAATTAACGTAGTGGTTTCAATCTGGTAGGAGGATCAAATAGCCAAAATTTTTATAATATCCTT